ACTTACTTCTCCCAACCATAGCTCTGTCCACCCCTTGACCCTGTCTTTGCATTGGTGCCAAAGAAACGATCCAGGCCATGCCCACTTCCCTCTTGGGCCAAGCGGCACAAACATATATACAACATTGGCAATGGAAGTTAACTACATGTGTGAGTTGAAACGGAACCCTACCAAAACAAGAGGACCACATCTACCGTATCTACCTCAGCGTTTGCTCCCCCACCCAAGAATTATACCTTTGATTCTGGCAACCAGGAAGATGTCAAGCCCAGGTGTCCCCAGCAATGACCCCTCGGAACCACTCCCAACCACTCCCAACCACTCCGAACCACTCCGGAACCGATCTGGGCCGAGACCAAGAGTAATGTTTGCCTACCCTCCTACCGACTAACATGGAATTGTGCAGACCCCCGCAGAAAGATTATCTTTTCTCTTGGAAAGGGCGGTTCTGCACTTCCATGTTAGTTGGTCATCGGTGGGAGGGTAATTCCAGCCATATTTAGTGAACTTCAAAGAATGGATCAAAACCGAAAACAAACCAAGAGATCCCCGGTCCAACTCTTGCGACCGACTTGACCGTGTGCATTTCTCGCCTCTCCGGGGTCTCCAGCACTGGGCTCAAGCTCTTCCTGACAAAATCCCCGGTGACCGAAGAATAGTTCGACCCACCTAGCACGTGGACCTCCAGTTTGGTTGAGTCAGACAGTCCTAGCAGCACTTTGGTTGCAAATGGAATGACAAACCTCATAAGCCCCAGGTAAGGTGATGACTCCTTTTACAAGCAAAATATAGTGTGAGGCCACGTGGGGTGAATGATCCCAGTGCACCCAACCCTAAGGAACGCTATTGGAAAACCCTTTGCTGGGATACCAGTGGATTCGCTTTGAACCGAGACAACCCCCGCCGCCGAAAGGGAAACAGCGTTCGATGAACGTGCCTAAAACTGGACACCCACGGATAGATGTCTGATCCCCCTAGCATGTCCCACTAGAGGGCAAACATGGATTTAGAAAGTGCACACGCTGGATTCTGTTGAAAGCTCTCTTGCAAAATATCATGCTCAGCTGCATTATTGATTAAAGGGATGTGTCTGAAGTCTTAAGAACATGCCTTGTGTATGTGTATGTATGTAGATAACTATGTATATATATATATACACGCAACTATACATCATATAGCCACCACACACACACACAAACCACCAAGGTTAGGGGCATGCCTTCTTTTTGGAAACACCCAATTGCCCATGGAACTGCACCGTGGCCCCGTCGAGCTTGTTCAGATTTGGTGCCGCGGAACCCGGACCGCTGGTGGATTTCCATGTATGTAATTTCAAAAGTGCACTCTGTGTTCAAGAAAGCACCTGTTTCAGGGAAATCCAGTTTGTTAGGCACTGATGTTAAAGGAGAACCGCTTGACCCTTGAATTCTGCAGGACCAAACAGAAAGCCAAACCACCCAAATCACAGCGTGAAAGCCAACATCTCGTCGTTGGGCCAAGCCAATTCCAGAACATGCAGAAGCCAAATGAGCTTCGGTGATGTTTTCCCAGCCCAGAGAGACTAACTCGTGTTCATTTCTTCACTACATCAGTATGCGTTGGTCTTTGGTGTGGCGTGTCGTCTGCAAATGGATAGGTCTCTAAAAATGCCAGTCTCTTTTATACCTACTCGCCCCCAGGAGCTAGAGAAAAACAGGTGAACCTTTTGGAACCTTAAAGGGAGCGCCAACAGTTCAAAAGCTGGATTCGCCCTGGGTCTCAGAAGCCCAGTGACCAGGAAAAGAACAAGGGCACCTTTTTTTGCTGGTTGATTTTAAAGGGAATCCTTCCCCAAAACAAGATTGAAAAAGGGTACCAATGGGCAACTGCGGGGGTTCTACGTCGCATTCCCCGAGTGCCGCCTCAACACCGTACTCCTTGAGTGTTGCAGGGCTTCGGGGTGGGGGGGGTGGGGTGGTTGGGAGAAGTCCCCGAACATGTTCCAGGATCCCCATGCAAAGGTATTCAGACCCATCCTTCTTGTCAGCCTTCCCACATGCCCTCCATCTCAGCTGTCGCCCCGCAAGACTGCAACAAGTAAGTTTCCCTGCAAATCTCGGACCTGGTTACACTTTGCTCCAACATGCGACACAAGTCGCAAGCGCAGGGTATTTTGCTATTGAGTACCCAGTCAGGCACAATCAAGCTGTGGCACTCATGAGAACCCAACTGAAACCACGTACCATCACTGACCCTCATGACTAAACCTTGCAACCCAGGCTGCCATCTCCGGGCCGACCCCAGTACAACTTGCTGGGCGCTAACTAGAACACATGTGGCTTGTCCTCTTGGTTTCCGGGGTGAATCTGTTATGGGAAATAAGTCTTTCTGTCATACCGAAGTGAGATATCCATCACATGGTCACTGAGGGGATTCCCATCGCATGGTCACTGAGGGGAGATCCCTACAAACAATGGCGCTACCAAGTTCACGGTTTGGATGAAAGTATTGTAAGGGAACAAACACAAGGTGTATTGATCTACAGTCTGACTTTTTCAGGGGAGCCCCCAAAACGGAACTGTTCCTCTTGGTTTCCCTTTAAAAACCACCAAACAAAAAGGGGCTCAGCCTAGGACAAAACCCATCCGGGGCGTTTCGGCGGGCGCCTTTCAGGTGTCTCCAGCACTGGGCCCAGGCCGGGCCTGAGAACAAAGCCGTTGGGACGGTGAGGCGTTCGGAGGATAACTCGGCCCCCGGACGTCCATTTCGGTATGTGACCCAAGTTGGGACCCTCCAAAGCGGCGTTCCCATTGGTTGTCCCCTTAAGCCACCCGAACTCAATGTTTAACAAAAAAAACAAAAACACAGCCCACGGCGTACAACTCGACACCCACGTGTCTTCTCCTGAAAGCACAAGTGGAAGCGAAGAAGAAACTCCATCTATCCTTGTTGCCCAAGCCTGTTTCCACCCCCACAGCTCGCACCTCACGCAAACCTTGGGTCGCGGTTCCTACCCCAAAACGAGAGCCACTCCAGAGCCTATCTGGGCAACCACCCCAGGTTGGGGAGATATGTGGATGGAAAAAAATCATTTCGCACCACTTTGAAACCATGGTAAAACCACTGTTTATTTGTATTGTATTCCAGGGCTTCTCAGGTGGTGCAGGATTTCGCCCATCCACAGTATGGGCACCCTCCACGAACAAAAACAGCCCCAAACTGTTTGGGGAGACTCAAAAAGGCCGGCGGCACACGGGCCCCAGGCGGCTTCCGGGGCGTGAGCTGTAAGGGCACCACAGGTGCCGCACCTGCGGCGGAGGGACGTCGGTTTGGGGCAACTGTCCCAGTCCCAAAGCGTGACGAACCAACTACCTCTGCGTGCGAAGCACGGATCATGGAAGATCTTCGGCCAAACTCCACTCCGTCAACTAGGAATCACAACATAGAATACTCCAAAAGCACGACTCAGGACACTTGAGCTAGGTTTGCCCTTATGTGAGCTCGATCTGCGCAGACTCTATAGCCACTCTGGCGCTTTCCGGGCCTATCGGCGAAGGCCAGGGATCAAGCCTCCGATTCGCTCGTTGTTCAACACGCTCGTTGGGCTGCTGCTAGGCGGATCTGTGTGTGTGTGGGTGGGGTGTGGGTAATTAATTTTGTTGGGTACCTTTTTGGGGTCCGATGCTTGCCCATAGGCGAAAACGCAAACTCTTTTACGGACCGATTTGACACGGGAATACTCCAATCAGGTGGCAATCAGGTGGCTTTGCGTGGCTTTGGGTTTGGGGGCGTTTGGTTTTCGAGCCTGCTGAATCGGGACTGGCCTTCAGGATTTGTGTACCCTTAATGGGGAGTCAATGGGTCTGAGAAGGCACATCAACACTCTTGTTCGCACCGACGAGAGCTTGCCAACGCCTTACTGCTAAACACACCTGTTTTGCCAAGCATGTGCTGCTTGTGAAGTTGCATGATAGCTTCCACATTCGGAATTGCAAAACCGGGAAGCAGCATGAACAAAACCATGGGCGAAATCGGTGGCAATTCTATTGGCGATTCAAGATGGCGCCGTGGTTTGTTCCTTTTGCCCAGACTCGCTGTTTGCCAGCTAATTATTGAACACGGGTTATTTCCAAAGCAGTCGAATGATGGTTCCGTTGCCATCATAGCAACCACTTACCTTTCGAGTCATGAAATGTCGCGTACTGTGAATGGACAAACACCTGCACCTGATAGCAGACTTTTCTGGGTCACGCATGTCCATCCCGGGTGCAGGATTCTAGCAACCAGCAAACACTGCAGCGCTTGGCTCATCTCAGCTCCGCACCGGACTGGGCTTCGACCTCCGAGTTCAGCCAAGCGCCCAAAAAAAATACACCAAAGCGATGGTTGGTACCCACAGGGCTATGAAGGTTTGTATATCCACATGTATGTGTATATATATATATATATTGTTCTATTGGTATGTATATATATATACTAGTGTGAACACATACGGTATATATGTCAACATATGTGTGCATAAACATGTATATATAGGCCTGACTATATCCCCGATGAAACCATGTAGGACGACCTACTCAAATGGTCAATCGGGCTTTAGGCCAAGACGTTTCGAAGCCCGAGCTTTGCACTTCATAAGATCTAAGCTCCTGCCCAGGGGAAACCCAGGTAATTGACTCGTGGTACCTTCAGGCCTTCCTACTGGATCCAGCTATGCCTATAGGTTTTGGATGGCTCCCCACACTGCTGCATTTCTGCGATACCAAACTGAGCCATCCTGCCCAGGTCACTGTCACGGAAATTCTGGATGGGTACCACGGAACATTGCCCTACAAGCTGATCCTGGTCGCTGGACGCGCTTTTTGCCTCAGGGGGCCCTTGGCATTTGCGTCCTTCGTTCACGGGCCCGAAGGATCTGGAAATCAAGGCAAGTACTTTTTTGTTTCTTGCTATAGAAATACCAAAGGCCAACTGGTCAAGGCAATCACAGAGAATTCAGACCATGACATCAGAAAGGGTAGTCATTGGACCCGCACGTCCTACCGCGTAAGTAAACCAGAAGATACATGAGCAAGGAGTAAACAACCTGGCTTTCTGCTATAAACATATATATATATATATACAATTATATATATACACATATGTATACACCTAATAGTCACATCTGACAAACAAAGCACATACACAATCGAGTGCTTTCCCTTTGGTCGAAAGCACCTCCGAAAAGGTAAGGACACCTTTACAAGTACATCTAACACTGCTACCACAAACCGACAGGATACCACTAAAACCGATATTCCAACCAGCTATAGTGTCCGCTGCTCAAATGTGTGATCACCATTCCCTTAAAGCCATGCATATACATCCATTCAAGGGGACGATGCGCCCAAAGCCACGGGGACAAAAACAACTGTCAACAACTTGTTCGGTTGCTGTGAGAACAAGGGGACGGAGAAGCGGATGCCGCGGCACGGGCTGAAGCAGCTTTGCAGGGAGCTCAAGTTGCAAGCGCTGGCGCCGCGTTTTTTTTTCTTCACCATTTCACCAGGACACAATGTTGGATCCATCGACAAACAGTCTTGGCATTCCATGCCAAGAGGTTGAAGGCAGACAGTACCGCAAGCTCAAAGAGGAATTTGCGGCACATGAATTCTCCCTTCTTGAAGGGGCCTCCAGAGTCGAAGGGCACGCCATCCCTGACAAGGCGCTCGCGTGTTGGAACCTTGACAAAAAAGAAACCACCAAGGGAGACATCAAAGATGATGACGTTGGCTCCCGCTAAAAATGGAAGCTTGAAGTAGGACTAGCATTGACATACTAGGAAACCTGAAACCCCTTTTGGATTGGGGTGCCACTGGCCATCGGCCAAAGCGATAAGGCACATTTGCCGAAGCCTTCTGTCGCGAGCTGGCGGACGTCCAGGTGTGCAAAAAAAAGAAAAGAAAAGCCACGCCTAAAGAGGAAGACCTTGCACCAAACAGAAATTAGCGACCCCCTCAAGACGTAGGGAGCTTGAAGCACATGTGAAAACAAGGATCCATCCCCAAGGTGGTTGGTTCGTGCATGAAAAGCTGCCATGTTGAGTACAGTGCCCAGCTTTGGCCGCAGCCCAACCACAAATGTGTTCAGATCTACATTTATACTTATGGCAAAGCAACGAAGATCCCAGCCAAACCCAGTGGATCCAGTCAAGTCCCTAACCACGAGAAGCCCTCCTTACTAAAACCTAGACACATGTCCATGGAACCCAACATCCACCGTTCATACAGGGATCTGTCTGTGTTGACCCCAACCCTCGGGGTTCCATGAAGAGATGCAGCAGCTTTTCGCGCCGGGCGCCGGGCGGATCGATGTTCATTTCTAGGAGAGCCGACTGACGTCATGTTAGCCAAACCGGGCTTGTTTTCTTCCACACACTGCACCTATGGACCCGCGCCCATGCAACAAATGAAACCGGTCGGCAGCTATTGGGCCTATCCACCGTCACCTGAGTCCAATTTTTGATGACTAGCCTGGGGAGGTTGGTCATGACCGTAAGGGCGGCAAAGACCAGCATCAGCAGCAGGGTCCCCACAACCTCGCCGGGCTTTTCCATCTGCGGATTTCCCATCGATCGTGAGAAGCATGTTTTTGTGTCTTCTTCTTTTCCGACCGCTTTCAGTGGAGAATTGAAAAACACGGGCGGATTATCCCACTTTGATTTATAAAGCAATGGACAGTGCGGCTTGCGCACCATGGATATGACTAACTATTAAAACAACATGGGGGTCCATCCAAAACCAATACCCATCAACCAGGACCTACAAGCAGGTCCAACAAAAACTGATTGAGAGTGGCTCAATGGACGAATCCGAATCATGCGGCTTTCCCACCGCAGACACGGGATTCAACCTCCCTAGCCTTAAGACGCTTGAGGGAAACCAGGGGAAAGGGGTGAATCAAATGAATCGACGTGGACAGAATCGTCTCGAAGTGTTGTGGAGATATGAGTTCCCCTTGGTTGAAATGAGCCAATGCCACACAACAGAACACGTTCAGTTGGGATATGGAATATGCAAACAACGAACAAGACACGAACGTGAAACAAAAAAGGTCAGCTGATCCTTCGGTCTGCCCCAAAGGAAGTTAGACCATGGGGAACTACAAAGTGTCGCTTTGCTTTCCAAGTCAAGGGGTTGCCGCAAAATACAGTTGCAAAACCTCACCTGATCAAGGGGCCCAAACGTGTCTCATTGTCCAGTTACTACTATAGCAGTTACCTGCGATGTTTATCTCTAGGCTTTCCCTAATGGTTTGAGCATCCTTTTGGCCAAGAGGAACATGTTGGCAGTTGAAGCCCATATTTGCCTGGCAGTTTAGGTGTCTCGAAATGAGGTCCATTCACTGTCCCCACCCCAAGCCTCATGGATTATCTTGTTTGTGGGCTATCTTCCCTGGCAAAGAGGGTTGGATGAACCTCAACATGTTGAACCCACTTTCGGGAACTTGGACACCGACCATTGGCTTCTCGCTAGTTCCCGCGCAAACCCTTTGAAGCACTTCTTCAAAAAAAGCTGTCCCAAATGGCCAAGTCGTCGGTACCATGTTGGGACCTGCCAACTAGATAACCTTTGGCGAACAGGAACCTGCCAACCAACAAATAAACGATTGCCAACTCAGGATTCGCTGACAAGAAACCCGCATGGCGATGCTCCCCGAAAAAAATCAACAAACAAACGCACCCTTGAACAAAGTGGTGCTGCTAACCTGACATGCAGTTAGTTGTGACTAAAGCTTGGCATTAGAGGCACACAACAACCAACGATCCATATTCTGTTTTGCATATTGAGTCCAGCCAAAATCATAACATGGTTTTGGAGGAGACCCCATTGAAACAAAACCAAACAAACACCGACCAACGACACACGTCGCCAGTTCCAAGCCGCGTTCGCTGCTGGTTCGCGCCAGCCCTTGCGCTTTGTCTGGAGCAGCATGGTGATCAACTCGGCACAAACCTCAGGGACGGCAGAACTCCCTAAACTTTCCCCCAAATCCTGGGTTGCTCCAAGCCTTTCTGAGGAAAAGGTCGTCCGACACTTGTAATTTTAACGGGTTTTCCGAGCCCTCTTTTTCCAAAGGGTCTAAATAGCTCAGTTCACACCAAAGATCAGCCACCAAACATGACCCACCAAGAGGAAACACATCAGTAGCCCAAAGGGTAATTTGTAAAGTGGCTGATGGACGAAACGCAACGGTTAAAAATAAAAACCAAAACACCCAGTTGATCCCAAACCAGTATAGTAGATAACCCTTCGCCAGGTTCCGTGAATTGAACGGGTGGTTCCCTTAGTTGCCTATACAGGTAAATGGAGTCTCTGGGCTAAACATGGCCTCAAAACTACATTCAGTGTCACAAGATAATCATGTCGCCTGTCATGTGTCAGCCCTTTGTATTACGCTTTTGGCTGCCGCAATGGACGTGTGAGTGAGAAGGACAAACTTTGTCAATGCCTCTGTTGAGTTGATTGAAACTTTGTCCCCCATGTCTTTGCTTGATTAACCATGGCCTACTGGACTGTGACCTGCTTCCTTCCGCAGGGCTCTGCGCCAATTGAAACCGTCCCTCCCTCCATCGCAGCGCAGCCTCCGATACACATCACCGACCGCAGGCATATTGAGCCCCGAACAAACATGGTTGTTTCCCACAAGGATATGGGGAGGAAGGGAAAACTCACATGGCCCCACAGAAATGTGTGGAAAATGTGGGTGGGCGCCCCACGGTACGTTTGCTAAACATATTGTCAGGCACTCCTACCTCCAGGCATGAACCCCTTATGAACCCCTGATGCACCCCTCTGTTTCTAGATCAGCTTTCCATGAACTACGGCTTTACAAAAAACCAGCACACGTCTAGCCATCGTGTGATTTCTGGCATGCCGGCCCTTGACTCATGTGTCAGAAAAAAAAAATCTGAAGGACTTGGTTCCAAAAAGGTACTCAGCATCAGGGGCTGCGACAAACAAATTTAAAGCAATAAACACCCAAAAGGTTAAACGGTTGCTTCTGGCTACTGAGACTATGCTGATGTTGAAAGAGACCCTCCCCAAAAAGGAAACACTTTCAAGCAGCGCCTGTTGTGTTCAGCCCCGTGCTTCATGGCAACAAACCATGTGAGGCCGAATAATAAACCTCGTTGGGCTATCGCTTTACACCCTTTCTTGTTTTACAGTGAAGTGTGTTTTCTGCGCATTCAAGGCACAAGCTGATAGTACAAGCGTAGTACACACAGTGCCGTTTGGCGAAAATCGTAGCTTTTAAGTACTCGTGAAGCCTTCAAATCGCACTTTGGCAGATCCAGCTTGAAACACGCAAACAGATCAGCAAACATGTAGCATGCAAAGTGCGCTTTGGTAGCTCCTGCTCAAAAATCACAACTTCTCTGTGCGCGTGTGGTACATTGTGGTGTTATCGGTTTTGTGCTTTGCTAACAAGTCTGGCCTGCTTGGTACTCAACAAGCTGCGCTCTGCTTCGAACGATCGTTGTCGCTTGTTTAACTCTTCATCAATAAATTTTGGAACAAACCGGAGCAGTTTAGCAGTTCGGAGGGTCCTCTGAATAGGAGACTCCTACACAGCGTACTTTTTGGACAAGCTTTGGTGTTGCCTCTAGGTCTTACTTGATGGTTTTGCAGGTTAGCGTTGTGGTAGCTGGAAGCACCGGGAAACCCTCCCCAAAGGAAGCTCGGAATCAACAGCAGTTTTGGTGTCATGTTCCAACTTCCCTAGTGAGTCCTGTTGGGCAAAGAAATCACAACTGTTCTGCTCCGTCGACTTTAAGTTGAAACCCTCAGAATAAAGCGTACCCCATGATTATTGATGATCCAGGGGGAACCCTCCAAAAAGCAAATGGGTTGACTTGAAAGACACACATTCGAACAAAACAAGCGACCATGAAACTTGTGAAACCCTGCCTTCCTTTCGGAACAGGGATCCCTGAGGACAGGGTTGGCTTTTTACGCAGGGTTTTTCACCACTTTTTCAAGGAATGGTTGCACATTGCCGAAGCTCGCTGTGCAGCCGAGGCACAATAAGCAAGGGGCCTGCAGCCAGCAGCCAGACCAGGGCGGGAAGAAGGAGATACAAGCGGTCTGTCCAGCCAAGTCAGTCGCGTGGCTGTGGGTCCAAAATAGGGTAAACCCAAAATGGAACCCTGGTAAATGGAAACATGGACTGAAATCTGCGGTCCCCGGCAGGTTTAATTTTGACCCATGCCCACGCAAAAACCTCCCGTTTACCCTTCCCACATTGCATGGAATCCACCAGAAGGGATAACATCGTCCAGCTGCCTTCTCTCAGGTTTCATGGAGAAACCCGACAATACCCCTTAAACAAGGACACACTCAAATGCTGTTCCGTTTCCCAACAAAGAGATTTGTCATTTGGGGGTGGCACATATGTTTATATAAAATGTTTTGTTTGAGGGTACCGTTCTCAGGTTGGTTTAAAGGGAAGCCAAAAGGCAAAGCAACCAATTGATGGGGTCGCACAGTTTTGATACCTACCCATTGAGGGGGAAGGGATACAGCAAAGGGTAGTCCTACTGCCCAAAAGTCAAGAGAGACCTTTTTGGACAAAAAGAACACCTCTCCCAGGCGCGATTGAACCATGAGTATCCACCTGTGAAGGAAAGGTCACCATGTTGATATGTTCTTTAGGGACCCCAACTGGACATGAAATCTCCCGGGTTTCTGGGGCCATTGGTTTCCGGACGCTGCCTGACCAGCTGCCATCCTGAATGGCCCATCCCACTTCCTCAGTGGAAAAAAGACCTGCCATGGTCTGGGGTTTAATGGATTCCAAAGGGACTCCTTCCACAAAAAGAAACATGGTAAACATGGTGTCGGGTTTAAAGGGCAACCGCCCTTTAAAAAAAAAATGAGCAAAGGGTACTTGGCAACGTGGCTTCCTCCATCGAGTAGAAGAAGGCGCTGCTGCCGAATGCCATGGCAAAGGGGTAGGAAAAACTGTGGGTGCCCAACTGCTCCGCAAACTGGCGGGCCACCTAAGTCAATTCTCCGGTAGCTTTTTCGCGGCTCAGCGCGAATGAATGTGTTGCCGTGTTGTTGTGTTTGTGTTTGGGCGGAAATGTGGTTTGAGGGTGTAAGGATGGTTTCGATGGAAAAACAACTGGAAAACCAAGCTGTTGGGTCCCCCTGCTTTGACACCCGAATTGTCCTGCTTCCATGCAAGACATAGGTGACCGGTAGAAATGATTTAAATCCCAGGGCAGGGTTGCCTGAGTGTGTTGGAAACCCAACAAGAAATTGTGGTCTGTCTTCGCGTTGCCACAAAAGGGCCCCAGCCCGGCACCCCGGTAACTGGAAGCACACGTTCAGCTCGGGCCGCATCTCCCTGCACTTGGCGCTCGAAGCTTTCCACCGAGCCAAACCAGCTTTCGACCAGCGCAGTCAGAACCTCACGTCTCCGGATATCTAATGGCCCGAGGGGGGCATGCCAAAACTGGACATGGCCAAAACTGAACAGATTCAGACCGGTGTTCACTACGGAGACTTGTTTTTCAGCTTACTCTGGTGGTCTGGAAAGGTGACTTAGGTTTTGGGGAAGCGGCCCCCCCCACCTACCCTCAAGAACCAATCCCTCCACACCACCAAATGGAACGTGGCAACCTGAGCTTTGGCAGACAGAGAAACCGCGCGATCACAAACCGGCATGCGAGTGCCACTCGGATTCACGTGGTTCACAGAGCAGCAGTAGCACAGGGCTTGCCGCAGCTGGAAGGCCTTCAAATGCTCGTGGGCGGCATGCCTCAGCGGTTGCAGGAAACAAGATGCCTTGTTTGCGATAGAGTAGTTTAAGGCGAACCTCCCCCCTCCCTGCCAGAAAAACATAGCAAATGAAAAGACACCAGATCCTTCCCGCTCACAAGAGGAGAAATGGTCGTTAACCATGAGAAAGTGAAATGTGCCTGTCCGGGAAGCTTGCCCTCGGGATTCCTGAAAAATGGTGCCCTGAAAAGATGACCCAAAAAAAGCTCAGTTAAAGATGGCAACCAAAAGATGCTGCGTCATACTGCATCCACCACCTGAAAGGGACAACTTCAGACTGCCCCGCTGCTTTTCTCGATGATATCGACGCAGGAGGTCAACCGCCAAGTAGAGGAAAATGAGCGGAGCAATGCCAGAGACCCAGGCTAGCGGCGGCACGTCAAAGCTAGGGCACATGGTAGTCACCTGGCTGCGAAATAGATCTGGCGAAAACAAACACATGTTTTCCGTCCCGTGAAATGGTCAGTTTCCCCTTAATTGGTGGATTGGATTGGTGATTTAGAGGTTCAGGAAGTGGGTTCCCGTTTACCCTCTACAAGAAGCAGGGATTCAAATCCCCAAACCACCAATCCAAACCACCAACCAAGGGTTGCCTGAAATGTGTCCTTTTGAGAAACACGGAAACCAAAAACACTATTCACCACGTAGTCACAAAGTGGAACAAAGCGCTCATCAAGTAGAAAGCCACGACCGCAGGCCCTACACAGGTGGCCCGGATTTTCACAGCTTTTGTTGCTTCACCCTCTCGGCTCTTGATGAAGGCAGCCAGCTCAATGACACACCATAAACCTGAGGCAGACGGATCCGCCCTGCACCAAATCGTATTTGCTGATTAGAACAAAAGTTGAATAAATCCAAAAAAATGCAAATCGAGTGCAAAACATGTGGGACTTGACATGAAGCGTTGAGTATATGTCTCGTCCAAAAGGATCAGCAGCTCTTGGGAGAGTCTCAGGAAGCCTCCCATGCTGATGATGGCATTGGATTTCCAGTCGGGATCTTGTTGGTGGATACAAATCCTCGCTTGCTTTCTGCACTGCTAAAAGTGAATAACTTTTAGTGGTTTAATACGGAAAACCCATGAGTTGGCAAAAAGTTAAAGTCCTAACATCCAAGCAAAATGCACAAAAGAATCGTATCCAGGAAGATGCAGTGATGTGGCCGCCACAGCAGAAAGCCCAGCGCCATTCCCACCTCGTGAGACTGAAAAATGTCGTGCCCCCCCAAACGGGTGGGTTTTTTTTCCGTTGGTTTTCCGTTCCCAACCAAAAAGGAGGCTCCCTACAAAAACACACATCCAAATAACCTGGAACAAGGTCAAAAGCTTTGAGCGAGGCACAAATCCTGCACATTGGCAATACAGATGTATTCCTTCGCCGGTGAAGGGGTGCTCGATGACTCCAAAGGCCCCTGCACCTCCAGGGCCGAGAATTCAAAAATTTCCGCGGCTCGGCGGTTGTTTTTGATTTTTGGTGAAAGAGCATCACTTTGAAACAACCAGTTTTGACACCACGGGTGTTTGAGGTGTCGCTTTTTCTGGAAAAAGAAGGATCCCTGTGTTCAGAAGAGGGACGTTAGCCCTATGTCGCTAACCTGCTGGGACCCTATAAATAGATAGGTTTGTCTTTACGGGGAACCTCTATTGTTTGAGCTGGGGATGCGTCAGAGTGCGCTTGCTTGCATTCTTGGAACTCTTGGCCGTGCATGCGTCACTACTGAACAATGCACATCTAAATGGGATTCAACACAAGCGACTGATATGGGGCCTTCTGTGCTGCTGGACATGCAATTATGTAGTGTGTTTGTGCATCTTGTATGGAACGTGAGCAATGTTCAGTCTGTGCCTAGCTTGCTGCTCAGCATAGTGCTCAGTATGTGCTTAGCATACCCGTCGCATGTCTACATGTAAATGCATATAGACGTACATGTGTAACATGTGTCCAACATGATTAAACCACAATTATATGGTACTTGTTCGGATAGACCTCCATTTGTTTAGCATGTGCCATGTACACATGCCCGGCAGATGCATATTATATGTCAGAACTTCAAGTACCAGCCTAAAATCAGTCAAGTTAAAACTCTAGGTGTCTGACATCACATGAAGCACTGATTTGTAACACTTGCTGCATGTTTCTATGTTTGGTGTTTTCTTATAGTATGCGTAGATCTTGCCTAGAACTATATATGCACAGCCTTTGCTAACGCAATTCCATTGCATTTACATTTGCTTTCTGATACAATTCAATTACGTGTCTACTAGTTGCCTGACAAAGCCCTAAGAATTTGGCTAGCATGTGTCTATATACTGCATGGTATGTATAATCCATCTATATTGTTTATCCATTCATATAATCCCTGACAATCCAATGTGTGCAAATAGCGCCTACATTCGCCGACGCCAGCGTTTTTCAACGACATTGCCCCGATAAACCTGAATGTAGCCAATTTTTGGGGACATTCAAGCCGACAAGATCCGACAAGGGTTTCGACAAACTTTCCGACAACCATTTCGACAACTCCGTTCGACGACGCCTTCCAACCACTCTTTTACGTCCGTTGGGACAACAACTTCAAACTCACAGGGCGGAAAAAGACAAAGGCATCCTCGGAGTGACGCGTTGCAAACTAACAAACATGCAAATTCCTGGCAACGAAATGACTCTAGCCAACCCCGGCTATCATTGCCGGCAAATGTTGCTTACCTGTCAGCGCGCGATTGACTTGCATAGTGTGCAGATCCCGCTGAGGACTTTCGACTGTAACGCTTACCTGGTTGAAGGGCTGGCTTGCTTGACCAATCATTGCGGTAAAGAAGCACGTGTTCGATAGTTCAAACTCTTTAGTCACAACATTAAATTTCCAGCGCAGGGTGACACCAAGGCACCGCGGGTTGGCCAAAACCTATCAAAAGGCCAAAGCATTACGCATAAGAGCTACGCTTGGAGGAAACAGCTCCTTGCAAAACACTTCGCAACAGGAGATCCGTCAATCCAACAAAGTCGACACACACTGCACTGATGGGGGTTGCTACCACGAACAGAAGACTTCAGCAAATGACGCTGCATCGTTGCTGTCTACACGGGCACGAATTCGACACAGTACCTGCGTATATCTTAAATGCGCTACTTCCTGTTTGTTTGTTAGTTGCGACCTTTGCTGTCCCGAGGCAACTGCCCGAATCATTTAATTAAGTACGCTTACAGAAAAGCGCGCATACACAGGGGCGATGGATCGTCATGACAAGTTGCTCGCGAACCAAACATCACCGACGTATAGGGTTGATTTTCCATAACACATCTCCAACCACGAACTGTGTTTTAGACTAGAGCGCAAGCCCAACTTAAAGCGCCCTTGTTGTGTTGAAGTTTGAAGCAGGTACTTCATCATCTGTTTCGACGAAACTCCCTTTAAAGCCACGTTAGCAGTTCCCAAGCATAATTGAAGCACTCGAAATCGCACTGGTTTAGGCTCTAACGAAGCCTCTACGAACTGCAGACCTTCGATGAGTCGCAATTCAACAACTCGCAGCTTCAAAGAAGGGTCAGCTTGCTGTGTACGTATATCAAGCAGGAATGTCAAAATGTGCTGGGAAGGGCTCAAGTGGCCTTGAGGAAAATGATTGAGACTGGACTGGACGGATATGACGCTCCACATGTTGCTTTGCAAGGGCTCGATTGATCGATGAAGCCCAACTATAAAGGACACGCGTCTTCAGAGCAAATCGCAGAGTGTGATAGTCGGAATGCCCCCAGAATGTTTTTTTGTTTTGTAGTTGTCTATGTGCGTTGCCCGGCCAACATGTGGTGCCAACTCTTTTTCTTGTGCTCTCCTTGCTGAGTATGTCCCTGCCAGTTTATCTCCGAACATTTTAGGCTCTTTGGTTTGCCCTCATGGGGTATAGGTTAGCATTAGCGCTAGGGCTATGGTACTCTATTGGTCCGACAAACGCTTCTCTTTTTGGGCCAGCCTGCCCAGTCACACGCCAAATCCCTGACAATCACATATGTCCTTCCAGCATAAGCTTAAAACGCAAAACTGAGGAGAAATCACGTAACATCACAGTTTTCTGGTGAACGTTGTCAGCAGTACACGCACTATCCGGCAATAAATCACGCCAAATCACGCGAAATCACGTTTTTCCGTCAACGTAAGCAAAAATATGACTACGTTCCGACAACAAATCACGCAAAATCACGCGGAATCACTCCCAGAGTTGCTGGGCCATTTGCTGCAGCCAGTGATGCGCAAGCTGTTTGGGGCTTGTGGAAAATGTGGCGCGGGCACAGTTTAGCCAGGACCCGCCGTTTTCAGTTGTGAGAGAATTTGAGGAATACTTTGCTGAGCTGCAGTCGGAATTCCCGAATGCACGTGCTTGGACTTTGTCGAAGCGGAAGTTTGGGCAGCCTGCTTGTGAAAGGGAGTAGAAAACTTGAGTGGCCAGTTTGGAGCTCTGAAAAAGACTGATGATGGTGTTGTATGGTAAAACTTGAACCCTTGCTTAATTAGGAGCTAGGAAATCTACCTGGCAAATCCGGGTTCACTTAAAAAAAACAGTAGCGACAAGCAATCGCATGCCAAGCCCGGTCGGAGAACGAATCTTGCGTGGCACATATTGGCTACAGTGACTGTTCGTCGTGGCATGTATATCCTCCAACGTGGGCGGGATAAGAGATAATGGTTCGAACATTTTGAATCTTGGGATAATGACAATGACCTGAAACGAGGCACACAAACACTTTGTGTCATTACGCAGTACATCGAGACACAAATAATCTCATTGTATGCATTGTACACAAATTTTGTTATTGCTTCATCTGCCTGACCAAGTTGAGCCGTGTTTTTGCAAATTACTTTTTAACACCCTTTTCGCATAAGAAGCCTTCTTCCTGGATACATGCAGGTTTTAGTGCTGGATAGATGCAGGAGCCTGAGTGGCCAACATTTTGCTTTGGACTCCGCGTCTCGCAGTCAGTAAGGAGCCAGCATTTCTAAGTCCCAAACAGAATGCCTACGCGCGACCAAAATCATGCCCAAACTCAGCTGTCGCAATCCCAAGTTTGAAGTAGTTTTGAAAATTGCGCCCCGTTGGTAGCTGTTGGGTAAAATAAGGGATTTTACCTTGCTTCCTGATAGAGGACAAGCAAAACGGGGGTATAGGTAAAATTACTACATCAAGTATTTTACATCCTTCCGCACAAGTATCAGGATCGTAGCAAGATTACCTAGATAATAACTGTTTGCGCTTATGTTACATTTACCTCCTTTCTGGTTGGGAGTGAGGGCTTCTGGTAACAAGTCCCGACTTTTAGCGGCAAACGCCGTCGTGCCAATGATTTGCATTGCGATGTTGACAATTGGAGTATATTGGAGTGGCTGTCAATAAGTGTGCAGAAAGTGGTGCGTATCGTAATACAAGCGTATAACTCGTTCGTATTTTGCATGGTCTCCTCGTCTGTGCACATACACGAAGTCTGCATTTCACCAGCGCGAATTGCAAGCGCAGAGTATGCTGACAGTATCCATGCTCGTTCAAAAAGAATGGGCTCCGTGCAAGTCACTGGTTGCTAAGGTAACAGGCAACCAAAACCATGTTTGATGTTTTACCCATTGCTCCCCAAAAATCCATACTTTGAAGTGGTTATGTCAACACTGCGACGAATACTGCTCAAACGAAATAGACTTGTGTAGCAAAGGGGGCTCTGTGCGGTGTGTTTGCGGCTAAGTGTGCAGGCTGGTAAGAAAGATTGTTTGACCTCGTGCGATGGTGATTGGGACTGACAAAAGTGGTCACTTCTGGACGGGATTTTGACTGTCCGACGGGGGCGTTTCCAAACGATGCCATTCTTGGGTTGCATTTTGACTGTCCGACGGGAGCTCCGACAAATTCCGACAATGTCGTCATTTCTTGGCTACGTACCAATGTACCCAAAAAATGGCTACATTTCAATGTATGCCATATTTGCTTACATGGATTCTCTGTGATAGCTACTAAATCGGCTCCCGACACGTTTGACTCATTTCTAGTACATGTGCAGTTGCTTTGTACATGTGTGACATGTGTCTAGCGAATGTATATGCGGTCCAAATATTGTCCTGCACTCCTATTCTAGCTCACTTTAGCATGAATACCGTATACCATATTCCAGCATGCGCCAAACGCATCCCAGGAACATGGATTGTGTGGTTCAAGCATGGAGTGCGGAGAATGTTTCCAACATGCTTCTAGTATGTGATATATATATATATATGTGTCCAGTAGCTGTTGTTGTTGTTGTTGTTGTTGTTGTTGTTGTTGTTGTTGTTGTTGTTGTTGTTGTTGCTGTTGTTGTTGTTGTTGTTGTTGTTGTTGTTGTTGTTGTTGTTGTTGTTGTTGTTGTTGTTCGTTGTTGTTGTTGTTGTTGTTGTTGTTGTTGTTGTTGTTGTTGTTGTTGTTGTTGTTGTTGTTGTTGTTGTTGTTGTTGTTGTTGTTGTTGTCGTCGTCGTCGTCGTGGTTGTTGTTGTTGTTGTTGTTGTTGTTGTTGTTGTTGTTGTTGTTGTTGTTGTTGTTGTTGTTGTTGTTGGTGGTGGTGGTGGTGGTGGTGGTGGTGGTGGTGTTGGTGTTGTTGGTGCTGTTGGTGTTGTTGTTGTTGTTGTTGTTGTTGTTGTTGTTGTTGTTGTTGTTGTGGTTGTTGTTGTTGTTGTTGTTGTTGTTGTTGTTGTTGTTGTTGTTGTTGCTGCCGCATATGTTGGACATGTGTAACAAAAGACCAAATACAGAAAAGACCAAGGTGACCAAAGTGTCCAGGTAAAATGGAAGGGACTGCAACTAGGCATGACCTGTGTGGCTGCGTTTTCCCTTGCTGCATTTCCTTCGCAATTTGCAACCTATCCCGAGGACGTTGACACATTGTGAGAAAAGCGAAACATATATAGCGAGATAGAGAGATACTCTCACAGTGTGACACACATGCAACAAAAGGGGGATTTTGTATTTGTGAAGTTGCCTTGGAAACCACAAAAACAAGGAAAGTGTGTGCGCGTGCGCGGGCAAAATTTATTTGTTTTTGCGGGTGCCCCTTTTCAGGTTAGCTTCAGGTTGGCTTTAGCCAAGATCGACCCCCAGCCGCCGATTGTTTTTTCGAAAGCGCGTGCCTACGAGCAGCATGGCCGTCAAGGCCGCCAAGTGCCCAGCCACCAGCGCGGCGGGACCATTAAAGGCCACCAGGAGAGTCAAGATCTTCTTCCAAGGGCTCTCACGCCAGCTGTGCGACCAAAACTGCTGGAGCTTCTCCTTAAAAACACCCAGTTTGGTAAAAAAAAAAAACACCAAAAAAAAACATGGTAAGACGCTGTGCTTAAGGCTGGTTCCCTTGGAATTACCTAGAGGGAAATGGAATCACTGGGAAAAGGGGAAACCCCCCCTCCCGCCGTTTAGGGGACCAAAGCCCGCTCCATCTTCAAAGCTTGCCGAACTGAAGCAAGCGAACGGCACCCCCGTTTCTGAAACCCCAAACCTTCCAAGTTCCACTCTACCCCTTGGGCCAAGCGAATCCAATCAACCTTTTGGTTCATAGGCCAAACGAAACAGATACTCCAGGCCGAGTGTCTACTTGCCGGCTCCTCTCGAAGAGCTCCGGCCGGCTCCTGACCAGGCTCAAGCCCAAGGGTTTCAAGCCAGTCCCTTTCGTGACCCGAACCTCCAGTTGCCATGGCCGAAAGGGCCATAATTCGTTGTTGGTTGAAACGGAAAAGCGACGCACCGGCTCGTCCCTTTTCCTCAACTCTCTGCGAGTCTCTCGCTAGTGACGGGTATGGGTTTCGAGTTTCGAGCCTGCGGAAGGCTGAACCGAAGCCGCTCAGCGCATGATGCGCGGAAGTCCCTCTGAGCACCTCTGGGCGGGCTACGCCCATGCCTTGCATGAAGGCCTCCAGCGAAGCTCCGGGCTCTGGGTCCTGCGGTCCACGAAAAAAAAAGAAAGAGAAAAGGCTCCAACGGTCCCATGTCTCCCGGAAGAACAACTCGCTGGAAAGTGAAATTCAGATGGCTCCCCATACCTTCCTTTTGTGTTACCTCATGTTACCCTCCGTAAGACAACCACAGCACCAGTACAAAACGAATCAGACCCAACGGTCAGCTCGATCGGATGGCCAGGGCGCGGGAAACGGTACCGTGCACTTGGGCTTGTTCACGTCCCCTTCAGGGTCGCTCGCCATGCCTGAGAAATTAAAAAAAGTTCAGCGCCACCTGAAGTTGCAAGCGCAACTCCAAGCGGCGCTTCAACCGGTTGCAGGAAGCCGGAAATACAAGCAGCACTTACTGCAATGTGCTCCCATCGCGATTTGAGCCTCTCGGCTGCAGCGTGTGTTTGTCGTGAGTCCAAAGTCCAATGCTTCCAAGATCAGCTTTTGCCAATCTCGAGTGGCTGTTGAGGTGAGGGTTATATACCATAAGGGATGTGGTCCTGTCTTTTGGCTCTCCTGCGATCGAGCGGGTTGGCCAAACATAAGTCCAAACTTTTTATCAGCCAACAGTCCTCAGAAAAGAAACAAAAATGTGCCCAGAGAGTGAGATAAAGGCAGCACATGCAAAACCACCATACCCGTCCATACCTGGTTACCCATTCAAGCCGTTGGCACCTTCCACAGCTCAGAACATGTGGTGCGTTCAGAAAATCATTAGGGACTAGCAACATCAAACAACAGGAAACCACAATAGAGAATGCGCACATTGTGCGGCATGGATGTGGTCTACACATTTCCTGATCGAAATCTGTACCTATTGGCAAAACGACCCAAAAAAGACTCACCCTTATTAGACAGCGCGTGTACCCAAGTGGATTAAAAGGATGGCTTCCGCTTTCCGCACCCGTGCAAAGAGGTCATCCGATGCCTTCTTCCATGATTCTTGGGGTCATCTCCAACCCTGGCCCTTTCAAGCATGTAACCTTTACCCTGTTAACCCTTAAGCCGCTTAAGCCATTCTAAAGGGTAACTCACAAGGAACCTTCCGAACCAACGGTGATCAATCTCCTTCGGGTTGCCTCTTGCTGTGCCAGCCATGTAGCACGTTTCTGCTGAAGCTCCGGACAGATTTTGGCAAACGAACAGGAATCCGTTGCCACCTTTAGCCCCCAGGTTGTCGGTTTTATGCTGGTGTCCTTCAAAACAATTTGCAAAAGGGCACCCTCAAACAACACACACACACAACGATGACTACAAAGTCGTCTAAAAATGATGCCTCTGCCCTGGATTTGGGAGATGGCTGTTAAAACCCCTTCCCAGCTCATTCCTACACGCCCAACCATGCGGAAACCTTTGACTGAGATTCCACACCCGGCGGTGAGGGGTCTGAGCGCCTGAGAGACTCAAAGGGAACATGTCAAAACATCTGACGACCGTGGGCCAACACAATTATGTATATATATATATATATGTGCATGTGTATGTATGCATGTACGCATGTATGCATGCGTGCATGTTTATATAAGTATATATAGTACACCGCCCCCCACGGACCCTGGTTTGGTGTGGCTGGCCAGTATTTGTCCAGTGTTTCATGCCCTTGTTGCGTGTTGGATTTTGTGTCATTTTTTTTTTGGGGGGGGGGCATATGTATATATGACATGCATGCATGCATACATATGACATCAGCATCTGCAATCTGAAAGAGATGGAATGCCTCAGACTAATAGAACGACTCGTTTTTTGAAAAAAACTGGATTCAAGATGCAAGATTAAAGAATCTGAGAAACTATATTTTCTGGGAATCTTGAATCCTATATTTTGTTCAAAATCGTTAAACAAATATGGGTTCAAGATTGAAGATTCAAGAGTCTGAGAACATATTTTCTGGGAATCTTGAATCTAGAGTCTTGAATCCCAGAATTTCTAAAAATTGTTCAAGATTCCAGGGTTGTCCCAATGCTCTCGGTGTTCAATCATTCTCGGAAAAGCTTTCCGTGAAACATTCCAATCTCGAATCTTCAATGCAGTGGTAACATACGTTCGAGGTTCTAGAACAACTTGAACAATTTTAGGGGTTGACCACGATGGATGATTCTCGGGAAAGTTGTTGTTTTTGCAATCCTCAATATTGAATCCTCAACCCAATGGTATAGCACTTTCAAGTGTTCGAGGAACTTGAATGCTGTTTGGGCTTGGCCAGGGTTGACAATTCTCAGCCAAGTTTTCTGTGGAACCTTCAATCTTGCATCTTTCCTCCAGTGGTAACATACTTTCAAATGCTCAGCGATCCAGTGGAAACACTTTCAAGCTATTAGTTAGACGAACATTCAAGTGCTTTTGGTGAGCGGTTTGCTTCATGTCAGCTATGCTCATGTTGACCCTTCTCCAGGAGGCAAACAAAGGTAGGAGGAATGCTCAAAAACACTGTATTGTACAGTATGTTTGTTTTTTTTAATGAAGAGGCGCGGGATCACTGGGGGGTACTGTATATGTGTATGTATGTGTATATATATACATATGTATGTATGTTCACACACCGTCACCCCGTCACCCTCTTGAACTACCTGTGCACATTTGCTCATCTACTACGTCCACCTCTTGAGATAGAAATAATTGTGTTTTCCTGTGCCAATTGAACTTTAAATACAACTGATTTAGCTAGAATCCCTGTTTCGAGATAGTTTTAGAATGTGAACCTCTCTATTGCTCTTTCGAACACCGTCTAACAAGTTCAATTTCGGACTTTTCTTATGCTACAAAAGGGCCAGAACGTAAATTACACAAGCTGTATGTCGAATCTCCTTGTAGAAGTCCCTTACATGTTTAGCGATATTTAATATGAAATATATTTCAGAAGTAGTCTCCATGTAATTGTTATCAAAAGCTAGTTGAACTGTGGTCGTAATAGATTTAGGTTTAATACTTAGGTGAAAATTGGGAATCAACTCCTATCTAACTTCCTGTGTTAAAGATGAGCTGGAGTTTACCCAAACCTTAATTTGCATTTTCATGTACCTCCTATTTGCAAAGGATTTGCTTATTTAAGCTGTGTTCGAACATAAGCACATTTTTAAAACTACAACCTTGCTGAACTATACTCACAATTCCAATTCAAGTTGAAGTAAAATCTTATTTGCAAAAGGTATCATATTGGGACATTATGGAGGGCTCCGGGCTCCAAATTACCAGGCTTTGGAGACCCGCAATTGGAAATGCTGAGAGTTGAAATGTGGAGATTCTGGTTTTTACCATCCCCGAAGTCAGTAAAACCAGGGTGGGTCCATGGGGGGGTACCATATATATATATATGTGTGGCTGTTCACGTGTGAATGTGTGTAGTGCATCTGCGCATGTGTGTATGTTTGTGTGTCTGTGCGCATCTGTGGGTATGTATGTATGTATGTATGTATGTATGTATGTATGTATGTGTGTATGTGTGTGTGTATGTATGTATGTTTATATGTATGTATGCATGCATGTACGTGTGCGTATCTATGTGTGTGTATGCATGCATGTATGCATGCATATATGCATGCATGTATGTATGCCAAAGTATACATGCATGTGTATGTATATATATATATATATGTGTATGTGTATGTGTATGTGTGTGTATGTATGTATGTATGTACGTATGTATGTATGTATGTGTGTACGTACCTATGTATGTATGTATGTATGTATGTATGTATGTATGTACGTGTGTTTATGTATGTGTGTATGTGTGTATGCATGCATGTATGCATGCATGTATGCATGGATGTATGCATGCATGCATGCATGTATGTATTCAACAGTATACATGTATGTGTGTGTATGTATGCATGCATGCATGCACGTATGTGTTTATGTATGCATGTATGTATGTATGCATGTATGTAGGTAGGTATGGAAGTATGTACCTTCCCATGCATGCATGCATTTATATATGGCGATGAATTTTTTGAGGGTCTGTGACGCGCGACGCGCCACGAGTCTTGTTACGGAGGTCTGTAACGGAGGCCCTTGTTACGCAGGTCTGTAACGGGAAAACATTCCTTGACAAGTAGCATCAGTAGCACAATTGTGCAGAACAACGAAGAGCAGCTCCTGCTCGAAAGTCGTGCAGTACAAGCGCAGCACGCGAACAGCTCCAGCTTGATTGCAGCTATTCAACGCAAGCCAAGCTGCGGCAAAAAGGGGGGCTCGCCCGGGCTGGGGTTGGCTCTGTAACAAGGTGTGTAACGTTTACGCAACGAGGACTGTGCGAGGCAAAGCGCAGTACGCAAAGCGCGCCTCCGCAGCTCTTGATTGCAGCTATTCACTGGGGTTGGGTCTGTAACAAGGTATGTAACGGCTATGTAACGAGGTCCGAAATGAGGCAAAGCGCAGTACGCAAAGCGCGCCTCCGCAGCTCCAGCTTGATTGCAGCTATTCAATGCAAGCCAAGCTGCGGCAAAAAGGGGGTTATTGGCCCGGTGTGTTCATCTGAGGTGTGCAACGACGGTGTGTAACGAGGGGTGTGTAACGAGCCAGCGGGTCTTGTTACAGAGGTCTGTAACCAGGTCTGTAACGAATGTCCGCCGCGGCTCTGTTACAGACCCCTCAAAAATTAACTGCCATATATGTACATATGGGTTGCAGGTGTGTATGTACACCAAAAGATGAAGCCCACCAACCCCGGAACTAGGAAGCAAAGCCCGACTTTAAATTGACCCATGAGGTTTTGAGCCCCTTCGCACTTGGGAGATAGGGCGCCGCTCCTGTTTCCTTTTGCACTCCAAAAATGGCGCCCTCAGAAACAAAACACCTGCACTAGTTTCGCCACCCTGGCATTGAGCATTTCCTAAGCAAGGGACCTTCATCAAGGGCAAGCTCGTTTTACCCCCAAGTAAGCTTGTTGTGGTTTGCGCAGAAAAATTAAATATGTACAATATATAAAGCTACAATATCGTAATATATCCAGAGTATTACTTATTACCTACTTATCTATTAATCTATACAAATCATTCAATCTCTGTAACCTTTATGTGGCCGTTTGGGACAAGAAACAACAAACCAAAAAGCAAAACAGCAGAAATCCTGAGGCTGCAAGGTCAAAGTGGTGAGAGTAGCTGCTTAAAAGGAACTTGGACCCTGAAAAGTCCACGTCCTACGCAGTAGACATACACTTCCCCCCCGTTTTGGGCATATCGTGCGACTGAGGCACACTTCCAGGTCAGAAAGCCCGGGAGGCGATCCAAAGCCCTCGAGCGGTAGGAAATCACGTG